ACCTAAAAATAGATTTTCCGTAAAGGGGTGCTGGCCCCCAACGCATTTCATTTTTTTTTATTGTGGCTTCGAGTTAAAATCAGCACTTGTAGGTGATTTAAAAAGTACATACGGCGGCAAGGAGGGGTCGATTCTTTTTCTTCTTCTTTTTTCTTTCCCCTCGCGAAACCACAAAAAAAGTTGTTCGGTTTTATTGTTTGAAGCACTTGAAAAGTTTTTTTTTTTTTTTAAAGAAGTTCCGCACAAAGAGCAGTGGTTAGGAAACCACGGTGGCTGTCGACGTGACGCTGGTGGGGTTCGTGCTGACGTTTGTGTAACTTCCCTCGTTGTTTGTGTTCGCTTCGCTGGGGGACAGGAGGCTTGAGTTGGCTCGGAGGATGGCCCCCGCTGCGCTGCAATGCGGCCGGGGGCCGGGCTCTGGGGTGTAGGTGAAGGTAAGGCTGGTGGAGTAAATGATGCCATCGTTGCGCACTAACGTGACCGGAACCTGGACGGGCTGGCGGACCCACCGCCATCCTTCCCGGAATGCCGAGATATCCGGGACGACGCACAGCATGCTCTCGGCGCATCTAGGAAGAAGCGTAAGAAGTCACTAACTTCCCCTAGGGCAGACATGTCAAACACAAGGCCCGGGGGCCGGATGCGGCCCGCAAAGTGGTTTCATGTGGCCCGCGAAGCCATCCTGGAAACAGTGAGGGAACGGCCCCCACTGCCTTGGTCCTGGCCCAGGTCGGCCGGAAGCCAATGTACAATTTTGTGGTGGCCATCTATGCTGAAACACATTCAGTCTTAGCTCCACAAGGCCATCTGGAAACAGCGAGGAACCAGCCCCTGCCGCGTCGACCCCGCCCCCTGGGTGCATGCTGGGGAGGTGTCACCCTTTGTGAGGAATGAAGAAATGGACCATGCCTTGGCGCTTGCCCCGATCCCACCCCCTTCTGCCAGACCCTCAGATCTGTCCCACTCCTGCCCAGGCCCCCACAGGCACCCTTGACGCGAACGATGTAGAGCTGGCCATGCCCACCCAGTAGGCCACACCCACTCCATCCATGCCCAACCAGTAGGCCGCACCCACCCGGCCCCCCAAGGGCAACCGCAATGCTGATGCGGCCCTCAATGAAATTGAGGGCTGTATGGTCCATTTCTTCATTCCTCACAAAGGGTGACACCTCCCCAGCATGCACCCAGGGGGTGGGGCCGATGCGGCAGGGGCTGGTTCCTCGCTGTTTCCAGATGGCCTTGTGGAGCTAAGACTGAATGCGTTTCAGCATAGATGGCCACCACAAAATTGTACATTGGCTCCCGGCCGGCCTGGGCCAGGGCCAAGGCAGCGGGGGCCGTTCCCTCACTGTTTCCAGAATGGCTTCGCGGGCCGCATCCGGCCCCCGGGCCTTGTGTTTGACATGTCTTGACTTAGGGGAACGAATGAGGGATGAACGTCTTCCCTTTACAGAGTCCCACCCGGACGTCAAAGAGTTACGGTAACGTTGCCAAGCTTATACAACACCTGTACATCGTTTCCGCTTCCACATCCCCAAACCAGACACGCAAATTTGGAGTGAAGTTCTGCCCGGTTAGTTCCAGCATCGCTACATCTCCACCACCGTTGAGCTTGTGAAAATAAAAGGAAAAGGTAATAGACTATATTTGTCATGGGAGACAAGCACAAGAATGCAGGGATTTGGGGGAACCTTATTTGAATTCAGGGAGCTTTGGGGAGGGGACAAATGGAGAGGGGAGGGGAGGGGGAAACAGCTGAATCTTCAGAAGGGAAATTTTCATCGTTACCAATTGAATATGGAAGAAGGCTATCAGCTTTTATCGGCCTTCCCAGGTAGAACCAGACAGGTGAGGCTAACTGTACTTTTTTGTAAGGCTACATTAATAGAGGGTGGTTAAGACCCTGAGCTTGTCGGTTGGAAAAGGGGCAGCCCGGGTTCGAGTCCCGAGCACCACACGAGGGGGTGAGCTCCCGTCCTCGCCTCAGCTCCTGCCAACCTAGCAGTCCAAAAAGCATGCAAACGCGAGTAGATAAACAGGTACCACTTCAGCGGGAAGATAACGGCGCTTTGCAACATTGCGCTGGACATGACTGCGGAAATGTCTTCCGACAGCGCTGGCTCAATGGCCTTGAACCGCCCCCGGGAATCGGCAGCGACTCGCAGAGTGAAATCCGCAGGGATTCCTTTACTTTTTTTTACTTTTACATTAATAGAATCTGGTAAGTCTGATAGTACAAATCTCCTCCTCTCTCTTTTACAGCCCGAGTGGTTGAGATTTCCTTTCTCGGTCTCATTTCTCTGCCCATTAGTTGCAGGCTAAGCCCTCTCTTATCTAATAATAATAATAATAATAAAGTTGGAAGGGACCTTGGAGGTCATCTAATCCAACCCCCTGCTCAGGCAGGAAACCCTATACCCTTTTGGACCAATGGCTGTCCAGTCTCTTCTTAAAAACTTCCAGTGTTGGAGCATTCACAGCTTGTGGAGGCAGGTTGTTCCACTGGTTAATTGTTCTAACTGTCAGGAAGTTTCTCCTTAGTTCTAGGTTGCTTCTCTCCTTGACTAGTTTCAATCCGTTGCTTCTTGTCCTGCCTTCAGGCGCTTTGGAGAATAGCTTGACTCCCTCTTCTTTGGGGCAGCCCCTGAGATACTGGACAACTGCTATCATGTCCCCCCTCGTCCTTCTCTTCGTTAAACTAGACATACCCAATTCCAGCAACCGTTCCTTATATGTTTTAGCCTCCAGTCCCCTAATCATCTGATAGTTCCCTAGCCAGCATCTCTTCCCTGTCCATCCTTCACCCCTATGTCACTCTCACATATCCTTTATATCTTTGAAAGAAGAAATAAGACTATTTGTTTCTTTGACTGGAATGCCTGCAATACCCAAACAAAATTATGTTCAGCCAATACAAGCAGCATGTCACAGATTGGGCTCTCCCGAGGTATATTTCTGAATTCCTAAAGATGCAAAGCGCCGGTAAATATTCTCAAAATCCAGGTGACAACCAACAAACCAACCAAATCAATCAATAGCTTGTTCGCTGTAATCTCTATTATATACCGTGTCGAAGCAGAAAGAAAAGTCTGGCTTACCTGCAGACTTTCAACGACAGGCACAGGTGTTACGGGAGCGTGGACGGGTCCCATGCCCTCATAAAATGTATATTCTGCTTTATCTGTGCTAATGATTGTCCATGAAGCTCCATCATTAATCATCTCTTTATTTGGTTC